AATGGGGCGGAGGCAGGTTCAGGAGTTGTGATCGACCGGGATCGCCACACCAGGGGGATTTCAGCCTTCACGACTCGCCAACATGTGGAGAGGTGCCTGGACATGACTGCGACGGGGGGCAGACTGGAGGATGACAAGGCGGCATGTGGTTTAGGGTTTAGGGTTACATAGGGTTTAGGGTTTGGGTCCAGATATTGGCCGGGTCCCAGACATGTGCTCGAGTTGATGAGGGGGCCGGTTTAAGATATCTGGGCAAGCTGAAACAAGCCATCACCCAATGAGGGGCTGGAGTCCAGAATGCCTGGATAGCCACGAACCGTCTTATGAGCATCGGCCTACGCACACACTGCTCCCAATCCTAATGCCGGGCCTTTCAGACGTTGTTGAACTTGGAACTTTCAAACTTGGAACTTGGAACTGTCAAAATTCGACCGCAAAAGCCGCTGCTAAAGCTTGCGGTGAGGGGCTCCAGCTTCGCGTTAAACTCGCGCTGCATTTCCCTAACCGGCAGGTCGTTCGCATCCTCCCCGAAGGGCTGGTCGATCCTTGGCGGGTTGGGGGGCTAGCTCCAGAGACGAGGTTCGGTCGCAGTAGGTAGCGAGTGGCGATTGATCTTGTTGTAGCTGCTGCTGTCGGATGATGGATGGCTCATGGCGGATGGTGATAACGATAGTAAATAGGAGGAGGAAGAGGAGGAAGAGGAGGAAGAGAAGGAAGAGGAGGAAAAGGAGGAGGACGAGAGTGGCCATGGTGATGGTGGCGACGTCATGGTGCTGATAAGTGTGGTGGAGAGCAGCTCACTTTCAGTTGAGTGCTGAGGGTTGGACTTGGTGAAAAATCGCTGCGACTTTCCCTAAGTAGCTAAGGTCAGCAAAAAGCTCTGAATCCCATAGACCGGGCTTCCCTTCTTCCGATATGTGCCTGCACCCTTCTCCCGCCGCCCCCACATTTTGAGGCCCTGAAAGCTAAAGCCTCTGCGGGTTCGGGGAGGATGCGCCAGAAATCGGATTCCCAAGGCCTTGTAGGTGCATCTAAGCCTCTCCTGAGCGATGTAAAAGAGCGTCCAGTACGACGTGGACACCACGAAGACCTGGCTTCTAGCGGAAACAGCCTACCACCGTGCTGAACCCTGCCACGACACCCCAGGAGTTGTTCGGGGGGTTTGTGCACACTTCGCGCATGCATATCTATGTATGTCCGTCTATCCGTCTCTCTCTCTCCCTCTCTCTGAGTCTTTGTGTCTCGATGTCTGTCTGTGTATCTATCTGTCTATCTATCTGTCTGTCTATCTGGCTGTCTCTCTGTCTCTCAGTCTCTCTGTCTGTCTCTGTTCGTCTCCGTCTGTCTCTGTCTGTGTCTCTGTGTGTCTCTGTCTGGCCTCGTTCTGTCTCTGTCTGCCTCTGTCTGTCTGTGTCTGTCTTTCTCCGTCTCTGTCTGTCTGTCTGTCCGTCTGTCTGCCTGCCAGGCTGGCTGGCTATGTAGATGCGTACGTGTATGTACACTCTGTATACGAGTATGTATTTCGGCACAACAGAATGCAAACAGTCTGTGTGTGTGTGTGTGTAAGTTGTTCGTTGGCTTCTTATCTAAAGGGAGGCTGCTTTGACCAATCATCGATAGAGAGACAGTGCTCTCCGTCTGCGGCCCAGGAACAATGATACCGGCCCACCATGGTTTCAGCACCGTCTGGCTGGCAACAAGCGGCGTAAGGATCCAGTGAAGAATCAGCATGTAGGACAAATATTGTGAATAAGGGAAGGGGAAGGGCACCTTCCGTATCTTCCGCACGTTTGTGACGCTCACCATGCCCCGTGAGAGCTCCTGGAAGGCTCGGGAGAGGATCGGCGGAGGCACCTCCAGCGTCTTCTTCCTGTCTGCCTCTATTATGAGGCGCTCAATCCACAAGAGAACGATCTCGCAGCGGTCCGGGCTGGTCCTCAGATGTAGCAGGCTGACTGCATCAATGCCTCCCAGGTTAAGAACCTCCAGCGTATCATCTGCAAGGTCACAGATGGTCTGCAGCGCATTGCAATGAAGCAGGCTCATGAGGCGGATGAGATACTGGCGAAAATCTTCCACTTCTTTCTGCTTCTCGATGTCCGGACTGCAGAACGAGAGCAGATTGCTGACGGCACTTGTCCATTCCCCTGTGATTTGGTGAAACAAGGTGACGCTCTCCCAAAACCGAGAGTACGCCTGGTTGCTTCGGAACACAATGAGGAAGCCAAGCACGAAAGTGTATCCGGACCAAATGGTATTGATTCCCTCCATCTCTGTGTTGTTGTCCCCCTTCTGCGTGACCCAAAAGATGTGCAGCAGCACTGTGATGGTCGCACATGGTAGAGACCACACCAGGGCCTTCGGGATCACGGACCCTCGTGACATGAAGAGGACCCCCATTCCCCAGGCTCCATGCTTGTAGTCGATCATGCTACACCCAGAGGGCACGACACGGTGGGCGGAGGGCTTCGGGTGCGTCGGCTTGAGCTATAAACTTACTCGTGCACGCGAGGCATCGTTTGTTAAAGCAACAAAGCGAACAGTACTGACGCCAACCCTCGTCTTGGCACTGATCGGGCCCTTGAGACCGTTCACGACGGGCAGATGTTGCCGCATAATGCAAGAGGTGAGCCTTCGAACCGTGCCCCTGATCCACTGTAGAGATCGCAAGACGGGCTAAAGGCAGACCATCCAACAAACCTACATGGCACTCGAGCCTCAGCCATCGTCGTCGACTGGCGCGGCCTGGAAAGCCCGTTCTACTGGTTTCAGGGTTCGCGGTTGGACGGTGGCTGGGTATTCTGGATCGGGGGGGAAGTAGATCATTTGCAAACCCGAAAGACATACAAGAGACAAGAGGCATCCCGACCTCCCGGCCACAGAGGGGGGTTGTTTCGGCTGGCTGCAGCGGCTTCGTAAGCCCACGAAACAAGGATTCTTTGAAGCTCGCGAAACAGTCCATATTACTTGTTGTTTGCTCAGGGGTTCCCTGAGATGCAATGGCAAAAGAAGTGGACGAAGTAGTGGTCCCGACACCGACATGGACTGACAATGACAACAAGCGCAACAATACATGCAATAATGTTCCCCAACAATACCCGAAGAGGTTGTCGTCGCTGCCGTCGTCCTCGTGGCCACCTCGGTCGGTGTGGCGGCGTGGCGGTGTGGCGGTGTCGGTGTCGGTGTTGTCGATGGTGTCGGTGGTGTCGGGGATGCTGGAAGTGGTGGTATCGAAGGCGGCGATGGCTGTGGATGCACAGCAAGTAGCTGCAGCCGCTGCTGCAGCAGTAGCATTGGCAACCCTTGCACACAACTTGCCAAATCCTCCAGCCTCCACACTACATCTCAAACCCAACACTGGAGCCCAAACCCCAAACAAAATCCGGCCACGGGCTCCTGTCCAGCTCTCTCCAACGCGCGCTGCGTTCGGCGCTGCCGCTTGGACAAGACCTCGTCGGAACCCTCCGGGCCTCCGGGGGTCTGGGGTCCGAGGCCTCAAAAGCCTCTGCAGCTTCGGAAGCCGCACTCAGGGGCGGGCGGCACGGTCACCGACACGCCGCGAAGGCCTGAGTCAACGGAGAAGTCCCGGTTTCCGGGAATCCCTTGCCTTCCTGTGGGGAACCCCTGAAAGCAAAGCTTTGCAAAGCTTTGCAAAGCCCACGCCCCCCCCACCCGTTTTCCTAGAAGCTCCGACATCCGGGTCTCAGATTCGCGAAACCTCAGGCGCGAGCAAGCACCGCTCAAACACGGGCTGCCTCACAAGACAGAAGGCGTGAGCACTTGCGGATGAGGCTATGTCTGTTCGTATGGGGAAATGACAAGATACGAGTGCATCCATACATGCACGTGTGGCTAAGCATACGAATATGATGTCTTCCGTGCATCCACCTTCTTGTCAACATAAGTATATATATATATATACATATATATATATACATATATTTATGACTTACGTGATGTACAATATATCTATATATACATATTTACAGATGTATAGAATATGTACATATACCTATATACCGTAAACAGAAGGATAGATAGATAGATAGATAGATGGATAGATAGATAGATAGATAGATGGCTAGATGGATAGACGGAAGGATAGATAGATGGATAGATGGATAGATGGATAGATGGACAGATGGACAGATGGACAGATGGATAGATAAACCCTAAACCCTAAACCCTAAACCCTAGACAGGATCGATAGTTGGATAGCAGATATCACGCGATTGCGGATTCAGCCAGCGCCCGGGTCCGAGTGTGAGATTTAGGGGGCCTTGAGGGCTTAGGGTTTGGGTTTAGGGTTTAGGGTTTAGGGTTTAGGGCTTAGGGTTTGAATGGGTTTAGTAAACAGTGTTCCGGGTTGAGGGCTCAGGGATTTAGGGCCTTAGCCCTAAACCCTAAACCCCTAAACTCTAAACCCCAAACCCAAAATCCTAAACCCCAAACCCTAAACCCTAAATCCTAAACCGTCCTCCCAGCTGCTGCCTTCAGCGAACCTGAAATGAAAGAAGGGTTCAGGGCTTCGGAGTTTGGGTTCCAGACTCCATCCTTCGGTGTTTCGGTATGTGGCACGGACCGTGGTACTCCTAAGATGGGGTTTAGGGTTAGGGTTTAGGGTAGGGTTTAGGGTTTAGGGTTTAGGGTTTAGGGTTTAGGCAAAAGGGTCCTAAGATCCTATATATTCTGAGGCTTACCCTAAACCCTAAACCCTGGAAGAAGAAGTGGCAGAAAACATTCCTAAACCCTAAAAGCCTAAACCCAAGATTTGTTCAGACCGCAAGGCCAGAGCCCGAAGAATTAAAGCGCCAAAAAACACCCGAAATGAATGAACGTTTACTTAAGCACACGTAAGTTCCTAACCCGCATAGAGCCTGAAACCCTAAACCCTAAACCCTATAAGCCCTATAAATCCTAAACCCTAAACCCTAATTAAACCCTGAACCCTAAACCCTAAACCCTTACACCTTGGGGCCCTGAAGCCCCAAAGCCCTCAGGTGCCCGTGCCGCTATGGTGTGCAGCGGCAGCGTCCAACGAGCTGCCGGACCGCTGCGCTTCCCGGGTTTGCTGGTTCGTCCGTGGCTTTGGGGCCAAACTTTTTGCGGGGTTTAGGGATGAGGGCTTAGGGTTTCGAGTTTGCCTTACTTTTGGGCCCTGGCAGTACGTACCCTCCATGACTATGACAGGGCAGTGTCCACTACTTTCTGAGACCGTTACCCCGTACCCTGAACCCGAAGCCTAAACCTCCACCCTAAACCTGAAATTAGCGCGCCGAAGAAGAGCGCAGCAGGTGCTGGCAATAAACCCCGACAGCCCTTGACCCCAAACCTAAGCCTAGCAAAACGCCCCAAAAAACCCTTACTGTAGGGGCCTGAATTATAGTTACCTCTACTATTCTGGGGGATAGTTATAGTATAACATACCCCACAACCCTATTCTAATTATTAAGGCCCCTAAACCCTAAACCCTAAACCCTAAACCCTAAACCCTAAGGAGGCCCCTATATTGCAGAGTTGTACCGGGGGAGGACACCGATGAGCTGGATGCACTCTACGACCGCTTCCTCCTCCGCCGGTGCGTGAGCCGAATCTCCAAGAGGTTCCTTGGGTTTAGGGTTTAGGGTTTAGGGTTTAGGGTTAGGGTTTAGGGTTTAGGGTTTAGGGTTTAGGGTTTAGGAATCGTCTTTTGGAGGATGTTTCTGTTTTTCTGAAGTAAGGCTGGCTGAGGAGGTTTCATAGTTTTGTTTTGGTTTCGAGGGTTTTGCAAAGCTGTTGGAGGATGCTATCCAGGCATTCAAAGGGTGTTTTGTCATAGAAGACACCTCGGCTGCGCACCTCAGCACTGCAGTCTGTACCGAACGCCACTCATCCCTGCTTCCCAGACCCTTGGGAGGATCCAAAAAGTAGATCCCTGAATGGGGGTTCCTATAAAGAGCCTTTAGTAGTATAGAGTCCCAAATTAGGGGTTCTACTTCCCCTAAACCTTAAACCCTAAACCCTAAACCCTCAACCCCTTTTTAGATCCTTCCGGGGGTCTGGGTTTTTGGGTAAGTTCAATGGCCCTTGCAGGTCAGTACAGAGCTTCCTCCGGCTCACTCTGGACGAGGATCCTCTGTATTACCATTACTGGTATTACTATTATTACCATTATTACTATTATTACTATTATTTTTATTATTATTGCTATTCTTAGTATTCTTAGTATTACTATTATTACTATTATTACTATTGTTACTATTATTACTCTTATTACTATTGTTACTATTATTACTATTATGATTCTTATTACTATTGCTCTTACTGTCACTATTATGACTACTGTTATGAAGTTTCGCCTCAACCTTTCCGGTTTCCGGGAGGCCGTCAAGTTCAGCTTGTGTGTCATTGTTGCGTCCGTGTCAGCACCATTCTCCTCCTCCCTAGGCTGAGGGAGTGGACCTGCTATCGCCAGTCGGAAGACCGCTTCGGTTGAGCCAAGAGTAGTCAGAACTTCGGCTTAGGGCTTAGGGCTCAAGGTCGCAAACCATGATCATACAGTGATGCAAGTACTTCTTGTCGCTGACAATAACAGTTGGTACCTCGAACATCGCCGCCGGCTGCTTTGCCAACCTTCAGTTGCAGCCGTGTTTTCTGCATGATCTAGTGCATGAGCGTTGGAGCGGGATGGAGAGTGCACTAGGCGAGCACTGGTGTTCAAGGGAAGCCGAAGCCGCGAACTTCTACAAAAGGCTCCAAGCCAAGCCCTGGCCTCCACCTCTGGGGCCGCATCTTTTTCGAAATAGTAATCGTAACAACAACAATATTAACAAGAACAATAAGAACAATAATGATAATAGTAATGATGGTAAGAAGAACAATAATGATAATAGTAATGATGGTAATAATCATCATAATAATTATTTTAGTAATAATAATAGGAGTTCGCCGGCTCATGGTTTCGGGCTCGGGCTCGGGCCTGGCACGCTGGGATGTCAGGATGTCGAGGATGCCAACGGCGACGCCCAGCCGCACGTGAAGCCCCTGCTCTCCATGGAGGCCGTTTAGGGGTTCCCCTAAAACCCTAACCCTTGAACCCTAAACCCTAAACCCTAAACCCTAAACCCAAAGCCCTAAACCCTAAACCCTAAACCCTAAACCCTAAACCCTAACCCGAAACCCTAAACCCTCCTGCTCTCCATGGAGGCCGTTTAGGGGTTCCCCTAAAACCCCTAATGTAGGGGCCTAAGTCATTGCCAATACTATTCTTGGGGGTTCTTGATTGTAATGATATTAGTATAATGCGCCACAAAACCCTATTCTAATTATTAAGGCACCTATATTAGCCCCTGGCCGCTACATCCTAAACCCTGAACCCACCTGCGCCTCGCGGGCACGAAGCAAATGCTCTCGCGTAAGTCCTTCTCTTTGACCCCCGCCCCCGAGCCCCGAAGTCGAGTTTCATCCGGGGAACTTCGAGCCTGAAGCATCCGAGAGTACCATGGCCACGGTTTAGAGTTTAGGGTTTTGGTTTAGGGTTTAGGGTTTAGGGTTAAGGGATCCATGGCCTACAACGTGATTCCGGTACTATTAGGGGCTTAAATAATTTGAATAGGGTTTTGGGGGCCCATTATACGAGAACTATACTAAGGAGCCCCCGAAAATAGTGTAGGTAATTCTCTAGGCCCTACAGTAGCGTACCAAAGTTCACATGGCAACAGGAACAGGCGTGTTGACCAGAAGCCCACAGCGACTGGGGAGTTTGTGCAAGGAAGCCTAGTGTTCCATAGCAGGTCTTTACTACATAATTGCGATCAATCTGCTCAGTATAGCTATTGTACTGTATAGTTGTGATTTCAGTTGAAATGCAGCTCCCAGTGCGGCAAGATCTCTCTTCTACTCGGAAAAGCTTTGCAAGTGCAACAAGAGTGACCTCCAGACACCGAGGCCCAAAAGAAGAGACCCTACACCTTAAACCTTAGACCCTTCAGGGTGTAGCGCGTTCTCAGGGGAGACGAGGGAGGCGAACAAGAATCGCCGGACACCTAAAGCGACTCCTAAAGTCCCGGACCCGCCAATCTGAAGCCGACTGCTGACCGTGAGACCTCGCCTGGTGTGTCCGTGCGAGAGGGGCCCAAATAATTACCTATACTACTTTGGGGGGTTCGTTATTGTAAATATAGTATAATGAACCCCGAAACCCTATTCTGATTAAGGCCCCTACAGTAAACCTCAAGCCCCCCAACCCTGAAGTTCTCTGATGCGAGCAGGATTCAGTCGACCTGCAGAAGAGGGCGAAGAAGGTAGGCATTAGCAGCTCGAGGTTTTTTCGGCGTTGAAGCATGATGGCAATGGTTGTAGTGATGGTGTAGCCGAGAGTGATGTTCCTGATGATGTAAGTTCGGGGCAGCAGCAGGAGCGGCGGCAGTAGCAGAAAGAAAAATAACTGCACAGTGTTGATGGCAACACTAATCGTATCTTGATGTTGTTGCTCAGGGCAAGCAGCTAGCTTTGCGATGACGATGGCTGCGGTGGTGGCAGTAGTAGCGGCGGCTGCTGTCCTGCTACTGCGTCGACGACGATGACGAGCACTAGCACCAGCACAACTATACTCTAGCACTACCACTACCGCTGCCATTGTTACTGCTCCGGCTACACTGCTACCACGGCCGCTAAAGCCACTACTGCTTCTATATACCACTGCTACTGCTACCTCTGCCACTGCGATACGACCAGGACTACTACTACGGCTACTGCTACGGCTACTGCTACGGCTACTGCTACTGCTACCGCTACTCCTTCTCCTACTCCTACTCCTACTCCTCCTGCTGCTCCCACTTCTACTACTCCTACTCCTACTACTACTACTACTACTACGACTACTACTACTACTACTACTACTACTACCACTACCACTACCACTACCACTACTATTACTACTACTACTACTACTACTACTACTACTACTCCTAC